TGATTATCAGTGAATGGCAATAGAGTTGGCGTTTGAATGTATGGCTCATTAATGTGGGGAAGAGTGGCGTCAATGGTTTGGGGGAAGACTTGTGTTGTGTTTTGTGCCATCACTTGATTGACCAAAGAATAGAAACGATTTTCAGCACTCAATTCGGTGTCAAAGTCGTTGTCTCGTTGAAGATGTCTTCGCGATCGGAGTCTTCGCGAAAAGTGACGCCAAGACATGCGAGACTGAAGATGTCTTGACTGATCACTTCCTTTATAACAGTACATAATAGCCCTGAATGAGCCGTAAAGTACGGACACAATGAACACCAATGAAAATGGGAAACCAAACGCTAGAAGAATGTAATGCTGTTGTCGTGTATCACCTCTTGTCGAGAGTTTTGGTAAATTCATTAGTATTATGATTATAGCGATCGGGAGTCCGATAACAATGCCTGAAAGCATTAGACATGTCAACGATTCTCTGCTCAAACACTTCCACGGCTTTCTGCTTCGACTCTCTGACAGTGAAGACTCTGTTCATCACAAAAAGACACAAAAATACTGATTATTAATAATGTATAAACTCTTTATGTCATCTCATATTCATGTCATTTATTCTTTTTTCATACATATTCTTAATGTTAGCCACTCCCCCCCCCACAGTTGGTATATTCTGGGAATATATTTTTGGAAGGAAAGATATGTATCTTCCTGAAAATGGGGAAAATAAGATAATAGGGTCAATCGATGACTAGTGGGTGTTTATAAAAACTTTTGACTAGCTGATTACATGTATCACGATATACAGTTCACGATAAAGCGTTATTGTAGTCATTGTGTCCCCGTTATAAAAATACTCAAAATAAAACTTCAATAAAAATAAATATTTATTATTCTTGATTAACAGTTTAAATATATTTATGTTTATTATAAACCCCACTTTTATATTACTGTACACTATATATGAATAACATGCGAATAGCGTATAAAGTACAAAACATTAATTTATAAAATATATTTACTATCATTATTATTCATATATTTGCAATCATCTCACCTTAAAATTTTTAGTCATTGATTAATATTTCATTAATAAATATTTAGTAATATATATGAGTATTTAGAGTATGAATACAGTCTGTATGAGTAAGATGAAAGATTATATTCATGAATGAAATATCCACACAATATCGGCGCAGAAATTTAAACTTTTAAACCAAATTTAAAATCTAATTTTGTTAATTTTAATTACTAAATATACCCATTGGCTACAATTTTGAATCTAGATGGTTTTAGCTGATTATAAAGAATAAATGAGTGCCATTTTTACCACTTAAAAACATTGTTAGACTTTCAGTGTCAAAGTCATAAACTAAACATGTATTCCATGTTATTTTCATAAGGAAAAAAGATTACAGTTTACTCCTATAAACAAAAATTATCCTGAATTGAAGTTCCAAATAATTAAATTGCATAAATGTAAATTACACATAAGCTGTTTCTAAATATAGTTGGTTTCATTAAAAATCTTCGAAATCTACAATTGTTTGAGTTCTAACATAAGACGGTCACAAACAGACGGTTTATTGGTTTTATTAATAATTTACGCAATTCTTAATTGTAATCTTTAGTGTAATTTTTTATTTAATTTATTTATATATTTTCTCAAAACACATCTGTATTGGAAATCAGCTTTTGTTGAATGCATTTCGTGTCAAAATAAAAATAAATTCAATTTAATTCAGAGGTTAATTGGGCTGAAAATGTGAGGATATTGTGGGCGATAACATAATATGTTGTGGATGTGACCATATTATGCTGACCATCGACTATCTCTATGCAATGGTTTCACATTTGAGTGGACAACGACAGACCCCATACGGAATGCGGACTACCGGACAGGACTAGAATTTGAAACACTAAGTTCATCCCAAGTATCCTCTGGTATACAAGCGAACTGAGTTTTTAATAGTACAGTGAAAGCTATTCGGGATACTATTGTGAAGAGTTAGTGTAACAAAGGATAAATACAATAGAGAAAATTGGCACAATATTATAGCAAAGGTTTTAGAGTTTGATAAAACCTGAGAATTGCGGATTGTATGTTAATCAGTTACTTATTTACATACTGTATAATTTTAATAAAACACATGTATATGAAATTATGTGAACGTTTAAATAAATAAATGATAATAACAATATTTATAGCATTTCAGTTTACTTTTGCAAACAAAAACAATTTTTAGACGAATAAACACATTTCTATACTTGAAAAATATAACTGTAATCGTTTAAAATGATGCCCACGTTTAGAGTTAGAAGTAATTTACAATAAATTATATAATAAGTTCATGAATTCAAACAATAAATCACCATAGATCATATTTGTATGCACTGTAACGAATTGCCAATAGATATAAGAAATGAAACAAATGTTATTGTTTTTCTCAAAAATGTGAAATATTTTATACAAATTATAATAATTGATTGTAATTTCATTATTACAGTAATGTATTATTCAACGTGTTATGATTAAAGATTGTTATGAATAACTTATTATTAAATAATATTATGTATTTTAATCTATTTTGTGTTTATGATTTCATAAATTATGTTTTCATAAAATATTTAAAATTTTGTGAATATTTTACTTTATTTTATTTACGCAAAAGTAGAGCCGCTAAACAATTACAAACAACTTCAGTTATAAAATATAACATATAATATTAAATTATAAATATAAACTATAAAATATGCAGGGTCATAAATTAATAGTGTTGCAAACACATTGTACTCCTTCATCTATCTCAACATCACTTTAATATTTATTTAATACAAAATAGCATTTGTTTGAAGTTTGAATGTTTAAAGAATATCCTAAATTGACTAAAGAATCGCAAGAAAATGAACAACTTTTTATATTTGTGATTTATAAATTATACTTTATATTGACAAATATTTATTTGAAAGATAATAAAATTCTCAATAATATGACTCAAAAACACAGCAAGTTTGAAATTCAATAACCATGTTGATAAAAAATTACAAAAATAAAAATGTCAACTACTGTATGTTCATGTAACGAGTATTTATAGAAACAAGTAAATAATTTAATAAAAACTTGTGTTTCTAAAAATAGGGATAAATGTCTTTGAATTGGTTTAATAATTAAACACATTTTCTATATTCACATACAATTTATTGTTCTATAAAATAAATTATAAGATTTATTATGAAAATAGTAAATAAAATTTAATGTTTAAAACATTTTGAACTAAACTTTTATATAATACTTTAATATAAACTCTTCTAAATATTTAAATTTAATAATTTTTAACAAGGACATATTACACAACATACTAACGTTAATTTTATTAAATGTTGTATTTTAGTTACAATTAAGTTAAAGAAGTTATTATAACCAATAAATGAGAGTTTAATTTAATATTTTAAAACTCAATTAAACATTTAATTTTTCGTGTAACTATAAATATTGTTAATAAAAATTAAACATTTTCTGTTGTTTACGAGATTTATAGAGAAATATTTTAATATAATTATTGGAAAAACACCATAAGTACTGATATTACGAGTAAACACTCAACAAATTAATAAATAAAATAAAACTCATATTAAATACAATAGACATGAAGAGAGACAGAGCACTGAAATTGCATTACAATTATATTATTATCTGTTTTTAATTAAGTCACTGCAGAAGTTAGACGTCAAGAGTTAAACCCGCGGTCTATAAAATGCTATAATTATTTAATAGCTTTCCTCACTAATCAACTACACGTTTGCGAACAACACTATTATTATGCGATTAATTAAGTAATTCATTAATAAGTGATTTGTTGTTTTAAAAATAACATTTAATTTATTTCTCAACAAACATCAGATGGTTAAATAACTGCAGTATTTAGTAAAAGTGATATTAATCTTGATATCATTGACATTATTGCAACATTTCAGCTCAATTACCAATATACTGTATTAGCAAATATTTGTTTAATATTTATGATTGATTGAAGATGCTGCCATTAAAGAGTTAAATTAAAAAATAACAGGCTGATAAATTGTTTCAAAATGTATGTATTTTACGATACAAGAATATTTCAATATACGATCTCATACTTAATCATAGAGAGTTGCTATTTGTGTTGAAAAATTATCATATTCAGACTAATAAGATGCTTTCATTCAATTTATCCCTAGAGGGTTCCTTTAGAATATATGAAAAATATTAACAGCAACATGGGCAATTTGTTATAACTATACATTTTGCATTCATACTGTTAAAACTTAATACAGTAGCTAAATTATATCTTATACTGCAGATATAATGATATATTTCTTTTGTGCCAATTTTAATAATATTTTGTTTGTGTGATAATAATTAATTTAGTTTTAATTGATCATTTATGGATTCGGTAACACTAACTGATAAATCAAAGAACTATTTTTAGGTTTTAAAAGGTTTTGCAGGTTTTCCCAAAAGAAATGTCTCATATATTCATTGTAATTATGAGTGAGAAGAAGACTGATTTGATTAATAAATAATTAATTACACATTACATTAACCCCAACTAAATATTCTCGCGGATGAATTGCAGTAAGAATTTGGGGTTTTTTCTTTGTTAGAGCTCAACAAATATGATTTGTTACTTATATAAAAAAAATATTTTTCAATTTTATAAAATAAATTTGTTTTGTATGGTCTCATAATTCTCATCCGAAGTTGAGTAAACATTTCAATGTTTGTAAGCATAGAAATACATTATATTGTATTAAATCCGCGAAAGCCTTCTCTCGAATATCTCCTAAAATGCTATTTAATAGCAATGCATATGCATTGCAGTGAAGTATAATTGTAGTCTTAATCAATGTATTATTTAACAATCACTTAAGTCATGGGACTTGAATAAAAATGTACATCATTTTGTAAATATTAATTTTTAAAATATTTTTTATTAGAATTATATTTGTTTTTAGGATTTGGTATTTAAATAAAATAATTTTTTTTGAAAATAAAGAAATCAAATTCTGTATATTCTTTGTTTAAAATAACTTTCTTTTTGCAAATCTCTATATTTAGTGCCTCTGAAATGAATTTTTCACTGAATTCTCTATAGTTTTAAAAACAGATTTATTTTACATACAAAACACATTAATAATTCAAAATTTGAATGTTTCTGTCATTGAATTTTATAATATATTATACAAGACAAAACAAATTATAACCAAATTAATATTGATGTTAAACTAAATGAACGTAATTAGATAAAACTGATCTAATATTGTTAATACAATTTGAGAAATCAATATTGATATCGATTTTAAAATTGACATTAGAATTGTTCACAAAATAACATATATTATAGTTTACTCCACTTTTTGTAATACAATACCAAATGAATGATTTGACGCAATGCCTAGAGTTATATGAGAGAGAAACTCAAATAAAACCAAATTATTCTGCATATTATTGATAGAATTCCTATACATTATTGCATTTGTTGCTAATATATAAGTACAGTATTCTGTAGTATTATATAATGCATATACATTAATGTTGTAAACGGAAAAACTCTACAAATTACTAATGCATTGGTTGTTTAGTTTAGCCTAATATTTGTTGTATTTGTAAATAATAACTACATAACTTATACTTAATTAAAAGTCATATAAAACCAAATAAAATAATAATATGCATTAGTTTTAGTTCTAAAAATTATCAAATTAAAGAACCGATTTTATTTAGTATATGAATATTCATTTTAATTATAATTGCTGCACATTATTATTAATTGAGATAAAGATATATAAGGATTATGTTATTTGTTATAATTTATTTTATGAAAATTATAGCTTATAACGACATTTCATAAATACAACTCATAATAGATAGCAATTTAGCGCTAATTGAATAAAATGACCATTTCTTACCATTTATATCGTTTTGTTGTCCCATTTCGTTGTTATTTGACATATTTTTTGATTCACATCCGAAAGACTTGCTTTAAGTAAATAATTATTTTGTCAAAACGGATAACAGCTTAAAGTCTAATGATTTTCATCAATCAAAGAATTTAAGTTATACTGTATTAGAAAAATATATTGGTTGAAAAATATTTCTACTTTCTGCAGGACAAATGTGTGACTGCATTCAAATACACTCACAAATTCATTAACTTTTAATTGAAAGCGTTTGTCAAACAATAGATATAGAATTGATTAATAAGTAGACGTCTGGAAGAGTGCA